CCCCCCCCCCCCCCCCGAATTATCATAAATTCCATGTCTTTAAACATAAATTTTAATAGTTTAACATTGATCAGCCATGGTTTTTCTTTGTTATTATAGAAAGAACTTATCCGAGAAGTTGAGATGGGCCCATTTAAGCACACCGTGGATGACGGTCTGGATATTCGTAAGGCAGCGTTTGAGTGCATGTACACGTTATTGGACTCGTGCTTGGATCGCCTCGACATATTTGAGTTTCTGAACCACGTGGAAAATGGATTGAAAGACCATTACGATATCAAGATGCTGACGTACCTCATGGTCGCCCGGTTGGCACAGCTGTGCCCTACCGCCGTGCTGCAGAGTAAGTATTTGCTGCTAGGTTACGAAAGGTAGAAACTTCAAATAGGTGGTCGGATTTCTGCGCGTTTACGGCGAATCTAACCCCGGAATATCGGGGAGGTTCTTTTAATATTGGAGTTTTATAATTTTTGTGATTAGGGCTCGAGAGGCTGGTGGAACCCCTTCGTAACACTTGTACCATGAAGGTGAAGGCCAACTCTGTGAAGCAGGAATACGAGAAACAGGATGAATTGAAGCGGTCAGCTTTGCGTGCTGTGGCAGCCCTTCTTACCATTCCTGATGCAGGTACGTATCTGCGTGTTTTGGTGTTGCGTCTGTCCGCACTCTGTTTTATCTTCCCTTAGTTCGTATTTACGTAGGTTTTTGTTGTTTATGGGAATGTTTTGCCGATCTGTCTCGGCTTTCATCTGGACGACTGTGCTGCCGTCTATCAGCGGTTTTAAAAACTATATATTCTTCCGTTGTCGGAACAAATTGTTGTCCAAAAGTGGGAAGAGAGGTGTTTTTGGAACAGGTTGTTGCAGCGATGACCTCCATTCAAAGTGCAAGAATGACCTAGGGAGCAACATTAACCTTGGATCGTTTTGGAAAGAAAAAAACCTTGGTATGTCAGTGAGACCGCACCTTTCCAATCTCGATTCCAAACTATGTTCATTCAGCTTTCCTCTTCGTGTCGCCGTCCTTCGTACCTAATTTGGTATTTAATCGAGTCGGCATTTTCTATGACCGCGAGAGCCGGCATTGCGTTAATGTTACTACTCTGTTTCACAGACAAGAACCCGCACCTCACCGAGTTCGTCTCTCAAATCAAAACCACGTCCGACCTTCAGCCGATCTTCGTCTCGATCCAGAAAGACTCGACGGGACCTAGCCAAGATGCGAATCTCATGGACCTAAGCTGAGTGGAACGTGCCTACATAACTGCGACGTTCTTACTGGCAGCCATCGTTCTCTGTGAAAGGTGAATCGTTTACCAGCGTGAGTCGGTCAGTTCTACATTTTATGTCCTTGTGAAATAGATGGCGTTACGGTCAGCAGAATAGTACAGACAGATTTTCTAAACAGAAAGAAGTCGCTTATTTCTCGGCGAAAGATTCAAAACATTCACGGTCAAGCGTGTTATAACCTTAACTTTAGGAGAATTTATGCGTTTTGGTATCGACAATATTTAAGCATTAACCGAAAAAACTTGTTTGGTGTAAAGTTTAAGCAGTATGCATAAAACAAATATTTTAAAATGTTTAGTGTTACATTTTTTTTTCTTCAAAAAAAAATAGTGTCATTCTGGGTTCTTCCCCCCCCCCCAAAAAAAATGTTACATTTGAATAAAATTAAATTAATGGAAGGCATAAGATCTCTTTTCATGTAACTTTTGTTCCATCCTTCCTCGTTTTGTGTTTTTGTTTCATTTCAAAATATTCAAAATTCTGATAATGCAAAAACTGTGGATGAAAAATATAGAAAAAAATTTGTTTTATTTCGTGCAACGGAATTAAGATTTTGGTACGCCGCGTATATTTCCTTTCGGCCGCTGTGTTTAGCCAGTTCTTGAATATTTATTTGCAGTCCTGTGTGTAAGAGAATTTCTGATAAAGGAAGAACTGTGTAATGTATAAATTATCAAAGTATTTTTTTACTTGACATCAATTTTCACGCATCCTTGTCGATCCTTTACCCTCTTTGCCATCAGACTTATCGGTACAAACGTTCGCGATACACTTTCGTTATCGAAATGGTTTGTAGTGTCACGTGGTTAAGAAATTAATGGCGAACAATCTCGGTGTGTTCAAGGAATCAAAAATACAGCCGCGTGCACCACGTAGAAGTAGAAGATAAAAATGCGTGCATGAGTCTCATTTCGAAAGAGACTTTGCCGTCTCACGGTATGTCGCTCTCTGCCAAACGCGGGACGTGAAAGCGTTAATTTATCTTAAGGGTAATTTTGGAGCTGAGGAAGACCTGCAATTTAATTTTATATGCGTTGGTATCAGTCGTCCTACACCTTGTCGTGGTGGTGGGGCTTGACCCCAAGAGCTACTGGTAGGGCCTCCCTAGCCAGATTGGTCGAGGGGGAGAGGTCAGACTAAGACAGGTACCCTGGTCCTCCAGGTTGGGGGTTGGTCGCAAGGCTAACAACCTTGCACCGTAAAAAGGATGTTTCGAAACCTCGATCAAAGCCTCGGACAGACGGACCTAACAGGTATTAATTTTGTCCGTCAACGTGCTTATCCTGCCGTAGGGTTTATTTTGAAGCGGAAGTCTTACGACGGAGTAGTTTTCCTTTGGCTTTGTAATGGTGAAATCAAAACTAAAAGCCATACATTTTTAAATATTTTATAACTAACTAACTAGATGGCTTACCGAACCTGAATTAACCAAAGCCCTCCACCGGACCCTGTCCTGGGTCAACGAAATCCAGTCTCCTTAAACTCCTATCTCCCATAGATCCCGCCTGAGATTATCCTCCCATCTACGTCTAGGTCTCCCCAGCGGTCTCTTCCCCTCATAACCGGTGTACACCTCTTGTCCCATCCATTCGCGCTACATGCCCCGCCCATCTCATTCTTCTCGACTTCAAATAAAGCCTCTGGTTGGACTGCGGCCTTCGAGCTCCCCAGATGTAATTCCACGGGATCTTTTCATTTGGACTCTCGATCGGCAGTCACGTAGTTTCCTCTTTACCCCACCACCGATGCGTGTTGGTCGACATTGTCGTGAAGGGGTTCGACCATGTGTCCGGGACTGCGGGCCCATCGTCCAACGTGAATATGGAGAAGTGGTGGAATGATTCTGACGGTACAACCGAAGGGCTCCAAGAAAAAACTCTCGGCGCTGGTTCGTCTGCCGCAAATCCTGGATGGACCGCCCTGACGGCATACCTGGGTGTCCGTGGTGACAAGACACGTGGCTCGCAGAGGTAAGGAAATGCGGTTTACGGAATCTAGCGTATTTCACGCTTTATTAAATACATATGAAATTATTGTTGAAATATTTTAATGTTCAGATACATTTATTTTGTGCGTTCGTCATATATCATTACGTTTATTTACATGATTTGAACCCGAAGGTTGGCGGTACTTTAATGAATGAATAAAGTCAGTCCGTTGACTTCTAAACAGAAGTCTTGCTTTCTGTACCGTTAAATTAAATTAAGCATCTCGGTCATTCTTAACATTTGCCCCGATAAAAAATAAACATTTCGTCACAGGTTAGAACTCTCGCGTGATTATGCGATGTCCGATGAAATATATAAATAAACATACACAGTATGAAATACATAATACTGCACATATGAATGATTTGCGTGTAGCGCGTTAACAGTAGTTTAAATCGACACGCACAATACTAGAATTGCTACATGAAGTAGACTAATCTTTTAACTTTTTATTTGAGAATGATAATTGTCTTGACTAGAGCCGGCAATTTGAAAGACGCAGTTATTTCCTGAATTATTAGTTACATGTTCTTAATATTTTGCGAGATTGAAACCAGTATCTACAGGATTTATTAATGTTTATTAGGCTGCTTAATATAAATAAAAAAAAAAGTTTATCACAGCCCAAGAGACTATTCAAGATGATGATTTCTGTCTTCTGGGTTGTCACCGTGATGACGGAGGCAGTATGACCTCTGAAACGTTGATTAACATCGACCGGACTACACGGCGCAACAACCCAGAAGACGGAAATCTTCATACTCGTCGCTGTGAAAATCTCAAATCTTACACCATTCAAGATTTTTTTGTAGTTTTTATTGACGCGGTGATGAACGTAAAGCAGCGTTCAAATTTTTTGAACTAAAAAACTGAAAATCACACGCATTATACGTACGAGTTTAATGTCTCATTTTCTATAATGAACTTGTAGTCTAACTCTATAATGTTAATATTTCTATAAACTGTACTATATTACTGGGATGTTTTGCAAAAAAAAATAACAGGAATTGTAATGTATTCAATAGTTTATGCATCAAACGTAACGGATGCAGTGAATTATTGTATTAATTTTAATTAATGTGAAATTCAGTCTTGTTGCTGACTGCAGTTGTATATCGTCTAAGTCAGTGTTGAGAAATAGCAGATAAACTTACTTTCGTAAGATACTAAAGCAACTTTATATCCTACGGCAGTCACATGAAACGTACTAGTAAATTCAGGAGTATCGAAAGTTTAGGAATAAAAACGTACTCTCGTATCTACACGTGTTTAAATAAAAATCCGATAACGTGTTTACAAACGAACATAAACTTCACGAATTTTACAAAAAAAAATAAAGTACGGTTTAGTCAGCGTTATCAGGATTTTCACCAAAGATGAAATTCACCCGAGGACAGAATTAAAAAAATTTTAATGTTAGTAATTTACGTATGATAAATTTCTGGCAAGATGGTTATAGTTTACATTCTTATCTTCAGTTCCACAAATTTCTTCTATATTTAAAAATAAAAGAATATGTAATGAGCAACGAACAATATCTTTGCCATAATGGCTTTAATTATGGAAATTATTTTCTTAGAAATGTACCGTAATATTATGGAACCAAAATTTTATGTTAAGGAATTGTCTTACATCTGAGATACTGAGTATTTATTTAACGACTTCGAATTTAAAATTGTTGCCCGCAGTAATATCATAGCACTGTTCCATTCGGATTGTCAGAGATGTTAATTTCCATTAAGATAACTAGGCATCTGCGTGCGAAATCCATTTTATCTGGCAAGATATTTAGCGGACTCGTGCAGTACAGACCGACGTGTACGATGAGAGAACGTGTAATCAGGGCTCGATTGATCGTGTGTTCTATCTTCAGCGTGAAGAAGCAAGCTTGAATTTTAATTTTTTTTAATCATAAATAAAAATTTTCTTTGATTATTTTCGTGTTCCCGAAAATTTAAAAAAAATCGAGCCCTGTAGTTTTCTGTCAAAGAAGATGGAAATACGATATAAACTTGAAAGAAAAGCTGATTTTATTGATAAATGTGCTTTTTAATATAAAAAGACACTTTTCTTGATTTTTAATGTATTATTTTATGGCTTAATTTGATTTTTTTTAAAAAAATTATAACGTAAACACAACTTTTCTTTCGTGGTGTATTAAGATCTTCTGTGACGATTATTTAAATGTTACTATAATTAAATACGTAAATAAATATAACGCTAATGAGATGAGTACTTAATTGTAACGATCAAAAATGAACGGTGGATATGGATGAAGTCGCAGATCTACGAAAGCAGTCCAAATTGGCCCAAATATTGGGCACGGTGGAGTACCTCCTACAGAACGGATGGCGTTAGAGTACGCTGAGCTTGTTGGCCAAATACAGCAGATGCAAGGCAGTGCACACCATAGACATCAAGTTCCCGATGGCGATTGACATATGAACCTTACGGAAGGCCTTGTGAACCTTGATGTAGTGCGGACATTTGGCCAGTGGGCCGGGATCGTGTCGGCCAACCTCCGTGCCAACTCCTGCCGCCTTCTCCATTGCAATCTTGGCTGCAATGAGGCTCAGAAGCGGTGGAGCCAAGTACAAGCGGATCAGAAGTTCGACGAGAAAGCACACGGCCATAGCACCGACCTGAAACGAGGACGTAACGGCAATGAGTAAGATGTCTTTAAGCCGAGTATCGACTGCGCGCGCAGCTGTTCATGCGCATCTGCCGCGCGCAGCTGTTCATGCGCATCTGCCGCGCGCAGCTGTTCGTTCTGCCGCGCGCGGCAACATGGTATCGACTTTGCGAGGCAAAGCAACGAACATTGCCTCGCGCGGCAGCCGCGCCCAATCGATACACTGGCTTTATACGGAATATAGTCTGGTAGAGAAGCTTACTGCCTCCATCGTCAGGTTATGATGGGACGGATGGACAGAGGTTTTGACGTGTTATTTATAGATTCAAAGAACGTGGGTATCATAAGCGTCTTGTGCTAACCTGTAAAGCTAAGTGAGCGTCCCATGTATTGGTAGGATGAAGTTTGACAAAAATGACAAGTGTGACCAGGCTTAAGATGCTGTTGAGTCCAAAGTATCTTGGGAATAGAACTTGCTGAACTTCCCCAAATGTGTGTCGTGGAACCGCAAAATACAATGACAGACCTACGAATTATACAAACATCATGTTATTTGTGGTTGTAAAAATAGGGGAGGGGGAAAGCAATTAATTGTAACCTATAATTTAAAAAAAATTGTTCTAACAAGGGAAGGTTTATAGAGATTAAAATTCATAGCGAATGTATAAAATATTAGCCATCGTAATGAGGATTTTCGTGTTAGTCTTGAGGGTTGTACCACTTTATGTTCTTGTATTGAGGTACCAGCATTTTGGATGGCCTCTGGTATTCGCCTATGAGTCCACGTGTGGCGTTACAACCCAGAAGATCAACACGGATACCGTAATTCGTAGTACGTGAGGCTGTCTCGTCTGGATAACAATATTTTTTTGGAATTTACGTATTTAATTTAATATTATCCTGTTCAATACTGCCCGTTGTTCTGATCCCAACTTTTTCGTTGGCTCGATCTATAGACGTTTTGGTATGATTCCTTGGATGAGGGATCGGCCCGTCGCAAGGCCTCTACCTGTATACAGGACAGACATCGATGGCTTGAGTGGGATTCGAACCCACGATGTGCTCGTTATGACAGATAGGTTGCAAATATTATTTTAAATTTTAACATTTTTGAAATATTTAATGGGAGTTGGTGTTTTTTTTTTTTGTACGGTATCTAGAAAGGTAAATATTTTCACCTGAGACGAAAGTCATCCACATTTGCGCTCCAAAGTGCATCATGAAGGCGGACAGGTAAACCAGACTAATGAATGTGGATGGTTTTGTGTGGACGTCACTTCTGCTCTTTGATGGATTCAACAGCATCGCTATAGTGGTCACTGCGACGATCATGAGCACGTGTGCTGGCTGCGTTGTTCGAAACAGAATTCTGGAACAAAAATAAAATAAAAAATTACGTGTACTTTCGTGTAGTAAGGAATTTCCACGGAAAAATCAGCGTAGTAAAAGAATAGTGTAGGTGGTTTAAAAGTTAGGTTATGGTGTAATGGGTTTTTTTTGTGCGCGTGCGCGGCAGTGTTACCAACTAGTAACTAACTTTGTCTTTTATGCAAAATGGTACGAAACTGTGACTAAGTAGATTCGTTGTTGAAGAGGAGTTTCATAAAAATCCATAAATCATTAAATAAACCCTATTTGTTAAAATATAACACAGCTGCTAGTAACAAAGTTTAAATTTCTATCTCTCGTAAGTTTCAGACTACGCTTAATGTATTAAAGGTTTTTATGAATTAATTAACTGGAAGTAATTCGAAGTCTGTGTAGTGCAGTGACGCAAATGAGACGTATTTTGCTGACGAACCGGATTTTCTCACGTCATAGCAACTGACTAGTCACTGGCCAGTACATTAGTAAAAAAAAACATAATTTATTCGTCCGAATGATTACGAAATTCGTTTTAAAAGAGTAAACCGTGCATATATGAACATTGGTGTTTGAAAGATCAGATAGAACAGATGTTATTACGTGACTCCAGTCGAGCCCACCGCCAATCTCTGTCCTCAGCCAGATTAACCCAATCCACTCCCTCCAACCTGGTTTCCCTATCTCCTACCAAAAATTTGTTAGCATTTATCGTATCCCCCATGTGTGCTACATGCCGTGCCAATCTCACCATCGTTGATTTGATGATACAAATTATATTTTCTGAACAATACAAATTATGGAGATTTATATGCAATTTCCCCCACTCATCTTATAAAATTGACGATAATGAATTAAAAAGTTTATAAATAAATAAAATATTTTTTTGTCCTAATTAAATGGCGGTCAGGATGTTTCATCGACAAAGAAAAGTGTAAGAACATGATCCAAACGTAAGATAAATTTTAACTGAAGGGCGGTTTAAAATACGTGGTTTCAAAAATACTTTAAATATTTCGCAAATATACTTCATATGTTTATAACGTACTTTTTTTAAATTTCGTAACAGAAAAGTTATTGACGATGTCGGGCCTTTCGGGTGCTAACGCAGTGTATACTTGTATGCAGATAATAGAAGCAGTATGTTCCTCTGGGATGTCGGTAGCTACGTGTAAGTTTACAAGGCGTTAACAGCCAGAAGGTCAACGTCTTGTCCTTTACTTACTTGTAGGATTTTGTCTGCTGCCATTTTCCAAAACAGTCGTACACCGCCCAGACAAAGACACGTTGCTTCTCAGTTACGACTGCGAGAATGTCCCTGTAGAATGGAGAACTGGTCTCTGGCAGAGCACGTACTTCTTCCGTTTTAAAAACGTGGCCGTTTGCCTCACTGCGCGGTTTCATCGCTCGTATGTTTTGTTTCTTCAAATCCCGTGGCTGTGTTTCCTGAACAGCGCTGATGTTTGTTTCTTCGTCAGTTATCGATCGAGCACACATTTCTTTTACACTTGAAACAGATATTAAATATTTATTTCCTTCAAAAATCACTTTATCCCTTGAAGTTGTTTCTCACGCTGCTAACTGTTGACGTTGAGACAGGCGAGAAACAGCTAGTTCGGAACAGTTCCGGTAGGTTGATTTACAAACCTAAATCGAGTAATTATTGAAGAATTCTAAACACTTTTAAAGATGTTACTGTATTAAGCTCCAAGAAACTGATGTATATTTCACACTGTAACACTCAACAATGTCGCCGACTCGAGTGTGTCGTGCTGTTGGCAGGATTCGTCTTATATAACTCCGCCTCCCACCACTACGTCACAAGCCAGTCCCGTTACGGAATACCTACCAACAGGAAAGCGAATTATCAAATTTATCTCGGCGAGGGGCGTCTGCTTTCAACGCTAAAGTCAAATCTATCGACGTCAGTAAATAAACCATGGTGCATTTTAATATCGTCAAATCCAAATAAAGGCTCCAGAATTAGTGGATGTGACTTTATTGTGGTTAAGAATGTTTCCGTAATTCTAAACGATCGAACCTTTTTTTTTTAAATTATTATCGCGAATATTTATCTATATTAATATTTAAAGCTGGTCATTGTTTAAAGTGACTTAATTGGCGAACCGGTAAAATACACGGAGTTTGACATTGGGATTATCCATATCGGTCCGAAATTTGATATTAGATGTACAGTACAATGTGACTAAGAATAAAGCAACACATTTCACGTCGATAAATTTTGTTCGTCCTATAAAATACTTGTGTTATTTACATTTAAGACACTTAAAGTCTTTGTTCAGAGTTTATTAAATATTCTTAAAGTTCTGACGTGTGGTAGTCCTGATCGATGTGGTTGACGTATGTTTTCGCACACGCCTTGTAGTTCTTGTCTGTAGGGGAACAAAAGATGTTCCCCTTTAAAAATGTATGCAGGCTGACATCTGGCAGGGTACTTTTGTTCAGCTGGGAATGGGGTACAGTGTTGCCAGAGTTGACCTGACTGTATGAAGGCAGAAATATTTTCAGGCAGATTGCTAAAATAAATATAAACTGTTCACCTTTAATTTGAATGTCAAGTCTGTTATTCCTTATCGACATGAATGCATTGGATTCATGTTAATTGGCATCCATTGTTAAAAAGTTGTGCTGTTTTCGTGTAATTGTTACAAATACGAGTCCTAATTGCGTTGTATGAATCGAATTTCCGTATTTGTAGTAACATTGTTGGAGATTAATATTATTTTTAACAAGTTTAATTGTCGTAAACATTAATGTCATGGCAGAATGATGGTTTGCAGAGTGAGGTTAGTTTTGAATAATGTTATTTTTAGTGGTTTTGCTGAATCAGAATTTTCCACTCAGATGTTTCATTTAACATTTTAAAGCCATTTGCCGGCAGGTCGTGTGCTTTAGTTTGCATGTACGGATATATAACGCAGTTGGTTGTATATTTAACGTCGTTTTCAGTAGCTCATGCTGTATAATGTCAAACAATGGGACGATTAGTAAATATTGAATGAAAATTGATATGGGATAAAGCAGTTATAGCCTAATTTAAAGTACTATTTCGGCATTTGGGGGGGGGAACTGGGTAAAATCTCAGTCTCTGGGGCGTGATTTGAACTTGGGACCTCCTGAATACGAGGCAGTGTTAACAATCTGCTACGACAGAGACTATATTGTGTATGTGACTTTCTGTAGTTCGTCCTCAAAGAAGGCTGGGCGAACAACCGACAAGGGGGTGGTCCTACAGCTTGGGGGTTGGGCGAGGGGACTTAACCTTGTGTAGGCCCACAGGGGGGATCTCGTATAATTATGGACGTAATAACTGTGAGTTCTTGAAGGCGGGCTGATGTATAAGGAAGTGAAGTTATAATATAAACTGCGTTCTAATGGTTCAATATGAAGGCTGTGTGTGTGTATGAATGAATGGAGTTTTACATACGCGACACTCGTTATACGATCCTTGACTGCAAATTGATTCTTTGTCAATGAATAGTAGGAATAAACTGTGTGTGTCGTGTTGCATATCAAGCCCCTAGCTCCGCGAAACTGATGAAATCCTTGCTTCCTTGTGGTGGTACTATTTCTGAAAACTAGTGATCCTGTTTTCGTAATCCTTAACATTACGTACGAAGCTGGAATTCCTCGGTGGGTGTAATGTCTGGTCTAGCGGTTAGAACGCTGGCCTTGTAATCCTGGGGTCTCGGGTTCGATTCCCGGCGGTGCCCGAATTTATAACTTGTGTTGGGCAAGGCCGTGGTCTAGGCAACACGGAGTTTTCCTCCGTGGCATCCCAACAATTACTCCATTCACACACAGAAGAAGGCAATGGCAAACCACTTCTGGATCATCTGCCAAGAACGTATATGAACAGGTCCCAGTCCGAGAAAAGGATGGAAGGATCCTGTTCATATGGACCTGTCGGCAGACAGAACACTACAAATAAAATAAAATATTAAGAAGACTCCCGCTCTGGGGGCAGTTCTTGGTATCCGACTCTAAATATCCATTGCAACCAATATGATGAGAAGTCGTCTTGACGTGTTTCCCCCGCAGATTAATCCCAATGGTTGGCACAACACAATTTCTTTTGTACAATATACAGGGTGTGCTTAACCGAGTTACGAACTTTATACATCGCTAATAAATACGTAGATTATAGTCCCTACAACATCAACGTGTTCTGACACACACATCTATGGTCTGGAAAAGTTTTTAAATGAAGGTATGAACTTTTCCAGCCCACAAAGGATTATTTTCCATTGTTGTGCAGATTTGCAGTCAAAAGTTGACCCGGAATGATTTTAATTTTACTTAGAAGTGCATATACTGCGCTGTAAGTTGAACGAATATACTTCTCTATACAATGAAAGTGTCGGAAATAAGCGGAAGTTGAAATTCATTGACAATTTAATTGTAAATTTTTTTACAATATTAAATTTAATTAAAATCGGTCGTGTGGACATACTCGCAGAAGGAGCGATTTGAACAGCCTCTCCGAATGTATGTGAACTCTTCTCAAAAGTCATCGACAGATCTTTCATTTACAGATCTGCGTATCTGTTGTCACCTGAAATTGCGTAAAGATGATAAAGAATTTTAAAAAAAAAATATCTCGTCGAGAACACTATTATGCATTTGCAGGGTAAACCACAATCTAACGTAATGTTACATCATAACTTGCCCATCAACTCTTCGTGTCTTGTGTTTATCTAAGTTGAACAAATATTGAAATAACCGCTTTGCTGCTAAACTGATAACGAATGAAAGAATCACACATATAAAAGTCCTTGCATCTGACAGTGCGTAATGAAACATTTTCTGTTCACGAGGTTAGGTCAATTTGGACCTAGAGGGGGGGGGGGTTGCTGATAATGCGGGAAGTTTAAGTGGCATTCTTGGGACGTCCGGTCAAAGTTTTAGAACTCAGGAAACAGCTTTCCTTTCGACTTTGAATCTCGCCTTTCGTAACCTTGGTTACGTTTCATCACGACTGACGATAAGATATTTGTCGTATTGGGAACTGAGAAGAAAATGTAAGCTAATAATCCTTCCTCGTCGACCTTTGGTGATTATCTGAAATACTCGGAATCATTTATGCATAAACCCTCTCAATTTTAATAGCCAACTAAATGACTTTGTAACCTCTCGACATTGGGTCTTCTGGGCTCTCTTTCGCCCTGTGAACTTGTAAGTAGAAATTATCACGCCAGCTTTCTTGATCATAGACGAATGGGGTCTTTCCAAATCCCCCCTCCCCCCCCCCATCAATTATTTCCCCTGCTTAAATAACACATAAAACTGTAGTCAGATTTGATCATCGTAATTTTTGGAAGCAAAACGCAGAATTCTGTGTCGTCTGTGAGGTGTGGAGTCACGAATTTTATTAATTGTATTCTTAAGGCAAACGCTTATAGTGACTAAGCTTAAAATACGAAGGTCGTTTGAATCTCAAAGTTATGCAGTTCTCTGCGTTATGATTGGGTCTAAAAGTCTTCGGCGTTTTGAATAATTATAGGTCTAATATTCATAATTGAATGACACTTGTCTCTGTTTTGCACTAAAACTTTACTACAAAGCACAGAACATAACCTGTTGTCCATGTTCTAATCCTTTGAGAGTATATTACAGACACGCCATGGCGTTGTACCATAAATCTAAGCACACGTCAATAGAAGAAGGTTAATTATTGTGTAGTTTTGTTTATATTGGCAGATTTAAAGCAATGTCATTCATTATAAGACATTCTTTATTGTGTGTACTATCTGTTTATCCATTGCAAATTTCAGTTCCTGAATATTTCAAGGTTCGCGTAAGGTGCTAAGTATCTGTGGGAAGTCTTTCCAGTTCATCGTTTTTATACGGCCATGTGCGTGAAGGACAATCAGCTTTTTAGGAATTGTGATACAAGGTGCAAAATCCGTTTGCACATAGCGGAAATATGCTAAGAGTCATCTTGTATAAAACTGCGTAGCGATCAAAGTTCGTGGTTTGTGAAATCCTAGTAATGTTGGGGTAATCCAAGGAAGTTAAGATTACCTGTAGTTATGATTAGAAATGATAGAACAGGTACATAATATTTGTACGGAATTTCTTTTGACGTAAATACGTCTATACGGAAGGGTCATTCGGCAAAAAAGTGTTACGAAAAACGTGTAAGATCCATATCAACAATGTGTTAATATGGATCGACAACAATGGTCAGCTTGCGTGCGTTGTTATGTTACCTAGGAATCGTCATGTTTACTCGGCATTGTTGTGTTACATTACTGCCGTCAACAATCCGCTTTCGTAACAAGATAGATGACATTGAAGATAACATTACATTACAGAGACGTAAATATAATTTAAATACAGAGACGTATTTACGTCAAATTCTCCCGGGGGGGAGGGGGTTGCACTATCAAACTCTAAACAGAGATGTGATTTATTTAACGAAGCTCATTCGATACTATATAAACTAAGCTACTAACAGCGTTATTAAAAACCCATAAAAGGTAATAACATATAACAGCATGCATTTCGAGCATAAAATTCCCTGTCTTGTTCTGATGTAATTTATTTAATAAAACAACAGTTTAGCTTCACGTTTTGGGGTTAACTGTTCCAACTTTGTGTAATTGTTGTTTATTATTATAACTGTTTTAAATTAGGGAAAAAGATATTCACATCCACTGTAAATCAATAATGAAAACATCACGCCCCGTCACAGTTCAATTGGGTAAATTTTATATCTTAGTGAATGTTGGTAATGCTGTTAATTCGAGAG